GAACGAGAGAAGAGGAATGGGAATGAGGACGACGAGATAGACGATGGAAGCATGGACGCATCAGGATTGAATTACGACACGGATGATGCTGCAGGGGAGAGTGCCAAGGGCGAGGAAAATGCGAAGGACGGTGGTGGAGGTAGCAACTCGATGGCCAACAGCACAGTGACGGGTGGTGGAGACCACAAGGGGAAGAAGAAGGGCCTCCCTGCAAAGAACCTGATGGCGGAGAGAAGGAGAAGGAAGAAGCTCAATGATCGGCTTTACATGCTTAGATCTGTTGTCCCCAAGATCAGCAAGGTGAAAAATCTCACACCCGTCAGCTCTTGGTTACTGCCATAAAGTTTCTTAAAGTTTCCTTAATCTTTTAGGTTATTCAGCTGCATGTCTCCTGTAAACCAATTTGTAAGAAGCAAAATTTGAAGTTCTCGACTTTTAGTTGTTTGTTGCTCCTCATGTTCTTGCAGTGTTTGCTTGGCATTCAATTATCTGATTGATTGCAACAAGGAAACTCACTTCAGCTTCTGCATAATATAGCAACACATGTAGTGCTAATTAGTTTACCCTTTGCACAGTTTTATCAAATTCCAATCATCTTGTTTGTAATTATGTTTGTTTAATCTGATTGTAATTTTTTTTTTTTTTTCAAATGACCGCAAAATTGTGTAACAAATCTTTTTTTTTTCTTTCTGTTTGGGTTGATGATATGAGATGATTCTATGGTTGGTTTTGCCGGACTTGTAAGCTTTTTATTTCTTGTTTTAGAACCTTATTGCCCCTTGTTAGTTAAGTACCTTATTTTGTATACTTTATGAAGTGGATAATGTTGTTCATCCTTCATTTGGTTTTAGATGCTAGATTTTTAGCGATTATGTTATAAAGCTCTGGATTGCTATGAATCAAAGGACTTTTGTTGTGACTTTTTTGGTAGCTAGGAATTGAGCAGTACTCAATTTATGTTTGTTAGTAAAATATTCATAGTTTTCCGAAGCTGGATCGAACAGAACATATGGATTCTCTTTGACTACCATGTGAAGATAAAAGGTGGATGCCACTATGCATACGGTATCATCTACATATGTTTCCTCTTCGCCGTTAACAGCCATCTAATGTTTTTGTTGGTAGAGTGATTACTAATCTTTGACATATATCTGAATTACTAAAGGGAAAAAGGTCATCTTGTTATTTGCATCTTTCTCAAGAGTTTAACATAACTGATTCTTCTTGTCCTACTAGATGGACAGAGCTTCCATTCTTGGTGATGCAATTGAGTACTTGAAGGAGCTTCTGCAAAGGATCAATGACCTGCACAATGAACTTGAGTCGACACCTTCCAGTTCTTCAATGCCAGTTGCTGGTGGGACAAGCTTTCACCCTTTGACCCCAACACTACCCACTTTACCATGCCGTGTGAAGGAAGAGCTCTGTCCAAGTTCTTTACCAAGCCCAAATAGTCAACCAGCAAGGGTTTGTGTCCATCTCTCAGTCTCTTGGTTTTATATTTTCTATCTGCTAGTATCATCCTTTATCACTATCGGAGAGTCATGATTATTTTAACTGAATGATGCTTTTCTACCTTTCTTGTCATCGGTCAACCCTGAAGGATCCTTCCTTTTGTTGATCGACAAAGGCTTCATGAAAAATATCGACAAATTTGATAACTAGTTGTCTACCTGATGTCATTCCTAACAAACAATCTCGGCAAACTATTTGTTGCAAATCCTGAGGCCAAATCGCCAAGTAGAATTTTAGTTATGTTGGTGACTGCAGCTCAATGCTCTTATAGAGGAAGCCTTTGAAGTTCATTTTTTTCCCAAATTATCATTCCTTGTTACAGTTTAAGTTATGTGCAAAGCTGTTCTTGTCATTCGCTAAGATCGGAAGGCTGCTGTGAATCCTTTCTTTGTAATTAGATATTGGAATTATAGAAGGCATATTTGCTAACTTTAAAGGACTGGAATCTGGTTTAGACAATTTGCAACCTAATTAATGTTGTTATGTGATGCAAACTGATCTACTCTGTGTGATCTATAGGTTGAGGTCAGGGTACGAGAAGGCCGAGCAGTTAACATTCATATGTTTTGTGCCCGTCGACCTGGTCTATTGCTCTCCACTATGAGGGCACTTGATGGCCTTGGGCTTGACATCCAGCAGGCTGTCATCAGCTGTTTCAATGGGTTTGCCCTAGATGTTTTCCGAGCTGAGGTGAGCTTTGCTTTCATTGCACCACCTGCAAAAACTTAACTTGTATTCTCTCGGTGACGTTGCATCAGATTAGTGCCTCTTGTTTCGGCTTGCCTCACTTTAGTTTCATCGAGGGCGCTAAGCTTCTTCTTGTCACTTTCTTTTCAGCAATGCAAAGAGGGTCCGGGTGTTTTGCCAGAAGAAATCAAGGCAGTGCTCTTGCATTCCGCAGGCTTTGACAATACGATATTGTGAGAGATCAGTGGGAATCAACAATTGTATCGATGCCAGTGGTGCTCGGTGGGTCATAAACAAGGTGATGAAATTGATGGTCATATTAGCATCGTAGTAGTTTCTTAGTACCTGTTTTCTGTATCATTGAGGAAGTTGCCGAGCGGCACTATTCCGAATCTAGCTCGCAGCCAGATAACAGTTTCGCGCTCTGTCTCATTGTGGAATAAAATTTTATCTATTGTCTAAAATCTCTATCTACATTTGTTTGGATTTTAAGGTCACATATAATCATGTTACCAAGTAGCAGTCACTGCTTGTGCTCTGAATCAGATTGGTGATAGATTGTATTGCTCCTTGCCTCTGGTCAGAATCGTTATGTGAATGTGTTGTTCTATCTAAATCGTAGATAAGAAAGGCCTTTCTTTCATTCGATTAGCAGCATGGGATATGACGAAAGCTGAAAGCTTCCTCAAGAATCTTTGCTGTTCAAGAAAAATAATTTATGGTGCGCAGTGAGTGCATGGTCTTCGGTAAGGCCTCGAGGTATGAGGGCTGGTTGTTTGCACAGTGCCATGGCTTCTCAACTGTGTTCTCAGTAAATGCCGCAGGATAATCTGCATGGCTTGGCAGGTTGTCATGACCTCATCTTCATTCGCTAGACCTCATTAAATTCTGTCACTCGAATCGTGCGTTGTTGTCATCGTCTCCGGCTCATCTTTTCCTGTGGATCACCAGCCCATTCGCCATTGCCATTACCATTACCGACAAGATCCTTCGCCGTCGCTACTGGTTGCTGCTCCGAGCTTGCTGCTGGTGTTTGCGTCATTCTTTGGCGCTTCTTCGCTGCCGTCAACCCATTCTCATCTGGCATATCTCGTCTACGATCTTCCTTGAATATATGGTGCAATGAAAAGAGGGTCCCGGTGTTTTGCCAGAAAAATCGTAGACGAGCTATGCCAGAAAAATGGTGCGATGAAAGCAAAGCTCCTCAAAAAACAGTTTGAGGAGAGAAGAAAACCAAAAGCCATGATGGACTTTGACTATATGACATCTGTCTCTGGCCCTTCATACTATTTATTACTCGTTACATATATGATATATATATATATATACATCTGAAGATGGAATACTAACACTCGTAGCTGAGTGATCTTTCGTTTACAATGTTTCATGGCAGATTTGCGAGAACGAGATGGTTGCGGTGCTACGTAACGGTAGATAAAAAAGGAAGAGCCAAAGGATTGCAATTACTGACTCCCCTGCAAGTATCTATGAGTAGGACATCGATCGAAGTTGGGGCTTCGCTGACAAGATAAATTATTGATCGAGGTCTATTCCTTTCTGCACTACAGAGAGATCACGGCTGGGGCCGGGCAAGCCAACCAGCCTTTGTTACCCGCATTAACACCCCACAGCATCTATCTCATCAGAAAAGAAGCGTCTGCAATCCTGCCCGGGAAAGACGAAGATCTTCCTGTCTCTGGTTTTTCCACCCAGCAATCCTCCGCCTTTGTTTGCCGCCAGAAAGAGAGAGAGAGAGAGAGAGAGAGAGAGAGAGAGAGAGAGAGAGATTCCCCGGTCCTTGTTGAACTTTCGCCCAACATAGCGTAGCTCTGACTGGAGATCCGATGTGCTCATCTGCTGCTGCTTCCTTCCTCCGTTTGGACAACGCAAAGTCGAGCGGGAAAGAATTCCTTCTCGAGAAAGGATGGAACACAACCGGTGGTTGATGCAGGCTCGATCGATGAGATTCCCCCTCGAAAAGGCCAAGAGACAATTGACGCTCTCGATCAAATCCGGTGGAGTGGATTAGGAGGCCGGGAAAGTGAGATTCCAGCCGACACACCTCTCAATCACTGATTTATCATGCTTGATCTCCAGAGTGGAACACCGATGACTACGTAGCATCCTGTGTTATGAGTGGCTCCCCTGGCCCATGTCCCAACTGTAGGAAACACTGCACGACAGTTGGCATCTGCAATTCACACCGACTGTAGATTGCACTCCCAGTTTGAAGCCCCGTCTGTGGTGATGCTTCCTGCTCACTAGCCGATGCCCATCTCATCAGAGAGTCAACATTTACGATACGAGATGATCAACAAACCCATCTTCGATTCACGGTACCAAGATCTGTGAAAATGGAAATCAAATACAGAGCTCAATCGTTGTTCCTACAACGAGATATACACCGTAACAAATACACATCACGTTCTTCTCGTCCTTTGACCGTAGACCACCAGTAAACACCAAACCCTTGGGGGCGCGTACCAGTGCGTGATTAGCAGCTTTCAAGCTCGTCGGTAGAATTTTCAGGTACATTACATTGCACAAGGGCTCTGGCCACTGCATTACTTTAGCAAATCGACAAAAAAATCAACCAATATAACTATCAGAAACACTATCTCGATGTTTAGGGCAGAACCAGTGCCCGGAACATGTATTTAGTGTATTAAATCACAACTTGGTGTTAACAAATACACCACAGAAAAGTGCAGAACACGGCCATTTCCTAAGATTGGTATGATTTCGATTCATCCATACATTCTATGAAAATTATCATGACAGCACAGAAAGAGGCACAAGGATGGGGGATGTGCATTATACTTACTATAATAAAACTGAGAAGCTATTTACATCATAGGTGCAAAAGATTAAGACGACTTTACCTATTCGGTATATATATCACAAGCGATTTTGTAAGGAAAAAAAAAATTACAATACCAGCAAAACTGTAGGAATAAGAAAGGTTCCATGCCCCTGGCTAGGGGAAGAAGCATGAGCGAGCAAGGTGGACAAGGCCGGGGGCTTTACCAACAAGAGTTTCAAGTATCTCATATGTTGGACCCACCACAAAAAGCTACTTCAGTGTTAAGTTCGTTGCTTAGCTAGCATCTTCAAAAGGCCTGCACAAGACAACCACACACTAGAAAGATTACTTCTTTCCAGTTCAAATATAGAAAATAAAAAAGGATGCTCCAAATTAAACAGAAAAATCTGTCTGCAAGTATATATTGTCATCGTCATGATATATGGTGAATGGTCAATGATATGGTCATATTTTGACATTAAAACAAAGTTCAAAGATACAGAAATCTGCATTTCAGATGTAAATATGAAGATATATAATAGCCTCATCTTTTCACAGAATCAACAAATGAAAATCAGGAACAGCCACATGCATTAAAATCAGGCTTAATTGTCAAAGTAGGAAAAGCTTAAAACCACAATATACCGCATCAACTCCAGGACAACCCTCAGAATTCTCAGAATTAGCAGTAGGCACAGGGCGCTTTGTTTCTTTGCCAGATATCCTTTCTTCAGAAACAGCTGGAGACTCTTCAACTCTAGAATTTAGTGTTCCTGGATTCATTCTTTGGACCTCCTCTCGAGTGTAGATGTAAATCTTACGAACCATGTTACAGAATTCACTGCAACGAGAGATGAGTCATCTTCCCTGGCAATTAAACTGTACCAAAGTGAAGTTAAGCAGAAAAAATGTTAAATACAATTACTTACTTCCAGGGATCATCTCCAACAAGCATCATATCACCTTCATTGTCAGTGTATACGACAAGCCAAATTTTGTTGGGAGCTATTAATGCACCCTCAAATTCAAACATTTGATCTAGCTCAGCAATCAGTTCATCATAACCATTGAACTTGGTAAGATCAACAGATCTGCCAAGAGCAATACCTTGCTTATGCACCTGAAATGAAAAGAATTAGGTCAAACTCCTTGCTACATTTACATAAAATTTTAACCTTTTCGGAAATCTACCATATTCTCACAATAGTCCAACACCGTAACAACTAGTAATGACAACTCGGCAAATTACTCCATACAATGCAGAATGAGAGAATCATATATTTCAATAATTCCAGAATAGGAAAACTTGAGCCAAGTATTGGTATCTGTCAGCATTTATTCATCGAATTCACTCCAGCTACTAGAACGTTCAAGAGTTACATGGATCTTTATAACCATTCGACAACAATCTAAAGGTCTTTTACACCAAGAACTTGTTTCATGAAGAAAGCTGCTGGTTCAAAGATTTTTTTTTTTCTGAAGTTATTGAGAAGGCACTAACTTTTTGCAACTTGTCGAATAACAGCATATTTACTTGTTCTGATTACTAGTAATCTGAGGTGGAAACCTACACTGTAGTACATATGATCTCCAGCTGAAAATGAAATGACTTCCATGATTAAAACCAAGGACACATAGCAATAACACTTACATAATGCATAACAAAAGTTACAGCTTCCAGTCCATGGCATTTTATAGCTGTAACATGAAAGAAAACTGTAACACAGCAGCCAAAAATCATCACAGCAACATACCAATACCATAGATTAAGACAGCAACAAAATGAATTTTATAGAATCATGTCCAACATTCATTATGCTAAAAAGATAAGTTACCTTGGTGCAACTCCTGGTTGAACCACCTTGCATTTTGTTCTGAACATCCTTAGAAGCCTGTGGACAAACCTGAATAAGTTTCTCTGTATCACCATTTGTCAGTGTGGCGGAGACCAACTTTGCAGCTATGCATGACTCAGAATGCTTGGCAGCCTCTAGACCTTGCGGTTGGGGCAATGCTGCAGCTAGATGGCTATGTGGCATCAGAATTTCTGCAGAGTTGCTCTGTCGTACAACTGATTCAGATGCCACAGGTTTGCTGTTTAGATGAAACCCAAATAGCTTGCAACCACTATTATTTGCTTTGTACTTTGCCACATCATTTTGGGACGGTACCAGGGGCTGAAGTGTGATGACCCTGTGTTGTGGCATGTTATCGGTTTGAGAATCGGGAAGCGAACATCCTAACCAATCTGATGACTGTTGATCACCTCCTAAGCCCTTCAGTTCCGACTGGCCTCCCTGCATTCCATATATGCAACTTCCAACTTTCTGAAAGGATAGCTCACCAACATGTGCAGTCATTTTCAAGTTGCATTCACCCAAATTTAAATTTGAATTTGAAGGCATCAAAGACCATAAGCCAGGAGAACAGTTATGTTTGGCCTCTTGATCCCGGAAATGAGGCTTTAAAAAAAATTTATCACCTGAGGCCTGCTCAAGAAATGGTGAGTGAAACCCACTTGAATCACCAGAAGGCTGAAATCCTGATAACATGTCAGTGTACATAGGTTCCTGCCTCTTTATGTGCATCCAGCTCTCAGATCCCAATCTTCTCTGAGCAGAAACATCATTTTTCTCTTCGTCATGTGTCAACCACATGATTGGCTTCTGAGCAGTATCTGCCTCGTTGCTAAAAGTACTTCTCAATGTTGCCATGTCTTGACCTTGCAATACCCTTGGGACTCCATGTGATTGGGAAGGGTCCATAGAGACTTTAGAAGAGGCTGACAAACATGTTCCAATAGTTAACTTTCATTTGAAAAGAAAGCTGGTGAAATAGTAGGATGGCACAAGTCAGACTTTACCTTCTTTTGTAAGAACAGATGAATCCGGGGAAGAAGGAAAGGCAGTTGTTCGAGGCCTTTTTGGCCTAGGCATAGGAATAGGGTTAGGAGGCAGAGGCAACTGAGCAGGTTCAATTTTCCATGGGGACACCCTATCTGGACGAGGAATTGAAGAGGCCTCATCCCAACGTACCTAAAATTTAAAACATATTACCACTCAATTTAGATCAGGTAATGCCAACAGCTGTAACTCTAGGATAAATCACCTTCAGGCATCTCCATTTCGATCCAGGCCACCTGCTTGGTTCAGAATCTCCAATGCCAACAATGGTGCCAGTGAACCTTCAGGTACAGATCAGAAATGATTACTTCAATTTATCACAAGCACTCCTAAGGTAACCTTATGTATGACGTGAAATGAAAGTAAAATACATTTTATACCTCTGTTCTGGGGCTTCTTCACCTTCAAATCTCATTTTGAACCTCATTCCTATAGAATGGTTGTTTTTTATTGAATCAACATATTGATCAAAAGGAACAATGAATTCAGTTGGACAAGTCCTGTCAAAAATAATCACATGGAATAATTAGACAAAGGAAGTATCTCAGTTGGTTTGTACTACAAACAACTGTAGTGGCTTGACAAGTAATGAGATTTTCTTCTCCTACAATCTGTCTCCATGCTTCAAATCTATACCAAAATACATTGCAGTTGCTTTATTAAGTGTGATATGTTGCATGTAATACAATGCATAGGCCACATACCGTGGTTTGTAGTAAACAGTAAACATGGTTCCAGTGTTGACAGCATGCCATGCTGTAGCAAGGACACCCAGGTGCATACTGTGACTGGATATAACTGAAGATGGAACATTTGTCTGCTGTCTCATAGCTCGTCTCACGCCTACACGTAGTTCGCCATTGTCCCCTCTGCTAGCAATGGAGCAATCACTTAGTAATAACCCTGAATGTTGAACATGTTTGGAGGGGTTGGACATTAGTAGACCTTAGAAAGATAAAAGCATCCCCAGCAACAAGCCTTTTAGAACTAACAAAGACACTCCATCCACTTTGAAGCAGGTGTCTTCGCGGTTGACCTAGTTTAACAACACAGCAGATTATCAGGTCCATGGATAACTAGCTACCACAGGTGGCCATAGTAACCAGCACGAGACTAGAGCATACAGATCTCTTTAAAGGCATATAGAGCTTAGAAACAGATGTGTGTCATGTTGATGTCAGTTTCAACCGAGCTTGCTCATTTGAGCTAATAGGTTAGCCATCTACAATAAAAAGTCGGAAGAAAAAAGAAACCATCTATGATAAGCCAACATCAAAAGATTTCACCAGAAAGCCAACATTTTTGGTGAACAAGACTGGAGAAAAAAACACCCATAAAACCTTTAAAATAGACCGGGGAACTACAACCTTTAAAACCAACAAATCCAGAAAGAAAAAAAAAACAATAAAGGAATTCCCTCAAACCCCATTGATTCCATAATCAAAGAAGTATGAAGGGCACAACTTATAATATAGTCTTACCACGAAAGATGTGGCGGAAGCGCCATTCAACTCCATGCAAGTCCTTCGCCACAAGCTCCTGACTTGGCGGCTGCTGGCTCATATCCTGATCACCAACCAAACAATCAGCAAAAGGGGAGATAAACCATCCACAGAGTGGAGAAAAGGATACTCGAAATCTAACCAGCGGAGGTAGGCACTCATCAGCATGCCGTCTTAGCACTGAGAACCCACCGTGGGTGCTGGTGTCTGACGCGGTCAGCGTCTTGCAGAAGGAATACACATGAGGCCGTGGAGGTGGAGGCTGAAGCGTGTCCTTCTCCACGGTGTTCTCATCCTGCTTAAAAACGATAGCCGTGTTATTATTATCTCAGCGAAATACTCTACTTTATCGCCTTAGCTCAACAAAAATCCACAGCAAAAACAACCAAGAAGTAACCAAAATGCATGGTCACTGAAGAAATACCTTTGAATCAGGGAGCAAAGTGATCTGAGCAAATACCTCATCGGTGTCTGGTTCGGCCTACCAACACAGCGATAGCTCTTTAAAGCTCAGAACAGAATATAAGGGAGAAACAACACGAGATAGGAGGGTTCGCGGGAAGCACCTTCAGATGGACGTTCATCACCCGGCAGAGGATCTTCCACGGGAGATTGTAGACAGGCATCTGCTGGTCCGCTACCTGATTTGTTGAAGCTTCTACCTAAAACACCACAAAAGACCAGCAAGAAACGGAGATTAACAGCACCTTTACAAATGCACAAACCAGAAAAAGATGACCCAAAACAACCGGGGGGATTCCGAAGCGTCACAGATTTTGGGAGGAATTCGAACAAAGACGGTGCTCTCAACTCTCACCTGCTCCATATGACCCTGTGGGAAGTAGAAGACCCTCTCCCCCACTCTGGGAATCGTCACCAGCGGGCCTGCGCAAGCGTGCCATAGCTCCGTATACAACGCATCCACCGAATCTGGAACAAGAACCATTCCAAAATCAAAACCTAACCGAAACCCTAATAGTCAACCGAGAACCCAACTTCTCCGGCCAGCGAGCGGAGATCGAGGCCGGAACTCACCTTTCCCGCCGACCGCGCCGCCGGAAAGCCCAAGGCTCCCCTCGGTGTCGCTTCCCCTCACCGGCGCGCCGTCGTGCAGCTCGCTACATCCCGAGGACACGGTATCCCCTCGTCCTTGACTACTCCCCTTCACCGACACCTCCGACGACGCCATCCAACCCAACCGAGCTCACCAGCATCCACCGCGCTTCAGCAATTCCCTCATCCACCACCGATCCAACCAAGACAAACCATCATAAACCCTAAATCGAAGCCCCGAACGCCTCCCAACCCAAATCGTTCGAGATCAGAAGCCAAAAAAAAAAGTCCCAATTCTGAGAAATAGCTCCCAAAATCTCTACGAACACCCAAAAGTCTCCCCCTCAGTCGCCCTTCGCAACCTCCGCTCGCTTCTTCTAAATCTTAAGCCGCTCTCCATCCTTCTCTCTCTCTCCTCTTTCTTCTTTTGTGCGCAGAGAGGAGCTCGGAGGAGGGGAGAGAGAGAGCCGCCGTACTGTCGTCGACCGGGCCCCTTCGGATCCTGTCCAGCACACGCAGTCCAACAACCGTCCTACTAATTGTTGTGAGGGGATCCGGAGTGGGACCCGCAGCAAGGAAGAGCCATCATTCGAAATGACATCGGCTTGTTGCGTAGCAGCCCAGCACGAGATCACACCCGGCTTAACTCGGGTCAAAATCCCGAAGCAATCATTTCAACCACGGTCAATTCCCCAACCGGAACCGGCCGCGAGGACGCCGTCAATGTGCCGTTAGGCGAGCGGCTCCCTCGAAAAGGAAAAAGCCATGACGGCGTCGTGCCTTCCCGTCTCGCCCCCGGGGGGCGCCTGTGTCGTGCTATCAACGGACAGCGCCCTGAAAATAAAAAACCATTTTCCTCCAGTTTTATTAATTCGAGTCCTTTTCCACTTTCCATTTTATAAATCTACCCTTTTAAAATTCTGCAAATAACCACACTTTACTCCTGTAAAGTCTGGTGCCACATATTTAATTTCTTAAATATTAAAATATATATTTTTAGATATTTCTGTCCGAAAATTCATGATTACTATGATCCTCAGATGTTAATTTAAAATAGATTATTTTTCCAAATATATTAATTAAAGTCAAAGAATTAACAAGAATTTGTTTTTTTAAGGAATATATATGTTAAACCGAAATCTAAACGAGTAAACACGGAAAAAAAAAAAGATTTGAAGGTATATAAATATAAGTTTCTCTTACTTTTTATTTTTTAATTACTGGTCGTGCTCCGGTGGTCCCGGGTCGACATGACACGCGTCGGATATCTGGTGGCCATTATTGGGCCCAATGAAGTCCTATGCTGGAGGGGTGTCGGTTTACGGGAGGTGAACGGAACGTGCTCATGATGGTGCCGTAACGCCTCCCGCACCACGCTTCGATGCGTTACTCGTCCGAGGTAACGGCCTCCTTCCTTCCGAGTAAGTGTTTGGATGTGGCGCTACAAACGGCGGCCTATGAACTGCCCAAACGTGGCGTGTTTCGTCCGGCTATTGAGGACAGCTTGCGCGATATACGAAAATGTAGACACTGTTTTCTGTTCTATATAGACATCTGATCACAAATCCGGCGACGGAGTAGGTAAGTGGCGAAGCTGCTTGGCCCATACAAGCTCGATGATACGATCCTGGCCGTCCATCGAGCTGTGGGTAGGCAGGTGATCGTGGGGAACGTTTTGGCCAGTAGAAAACCCGGGTGGGTGGTTGGGGGGTGAGGTAGGTAATTAGCGAATAAAATGGAGGGAAAAGCAGTTGTCGCCAGGGTGCGGGCCCCGAGGAGCTGAGGAGGCGGGTCCCACACATGCCCCTTCCTGACCCGACAACTCTCCCGCCTTACCCAAGCAAGGTGGGCCTCCGGTCCCCTCTACTAACCAAACCCAACCAACGTGTCAGAATCGTTAACTCGGGTTAAAGCTATCAGCAGAGTCACTTTTCGTACGCTTTACCGCGACCGGTCTCACCGAAAGGTGGGCTCCTTCGGTCCTGCAATCACGAGGCAGGTAGGCACGCCGCGTGACTGCACGAGGGTTGTAAGAGCATCTCTCGACGATTGCTTTGCGGGTCTCAAACTGAAGTGCGACCCGTTCAGGTCTCGAAAAACCGATCCGCTCTAATCGTGCCATTCATATCTCGCCACGTCCGATCTTCACACCGTCTCTGCTCGACACGAGTAATTTTTGACGGGTCCGGGGTGCGAATTCGGGTTTCTACGCCACCCGCCACGTGTGAGTTAAACGGCGGTCATTAGCGTGGAGATTCGTGTTCCCTGCTACGCTATTTTAAACGAGACGAAGTCACGTTAATGTTAGCTTAATGTTCGGATCAATCACACGATATATATATATATATATATATATATAGAAAACGTCATGGTATTATCATATTTTTGGTCAGACCAGTCGATGTGACTGAAACAGTTCTGCCCTATGTTCTTCTTTTGTCTTCTTCGTAGATATATCTAAATATTCTTTCATTTAATTAGAAGTTTAGAACTTTTTTTAAAAATAATAATAAAAATTTCATGCAAAAGTTTAAGCTAATCGAAACGTCATGTCCATATGATACTTATGTGAGTATATATTTGATAATAAAAACAGATTATGATGGTTGAAAAGACATTAAATTAAGTAAGATATGATATTTATGGATCCACAAAAAATAAATATTTATTTGTCACGACCGTCGACGAGACAAAGGCACTCGATGATGGCAAAGAAAGGTCGTGAAAAGTGGGCGTCGGGTACACGGAGAGAGGACAAGAGGATGAAGAAGACCTGTGATTGGAGCCTAGGGCAGGGGCCCGTCCATCCACCAACGGGGGGGCGCACCGCGTGGAGCAGAGCAGACGTTGCAGGCGCCCAGCAAGCTGCCGAGACTCGTGAGAGCTCCGCAGAGGTGCGTACCGACGAGGCGCTGACCGTCTCGTTTAGTCTTCGATCCTCGTTTTTCCTAATCGGAATATCATCAAACGACTCGAGTGCTGTTGGCTGGGATTAGAACTTTTGATATTAAATCTATATAGAATGAACTTTTGATCCCCTTCATAACTCTCGTCCTAACTGAGAGAGAGAGAGAGAGGAGCGGATAGAATCCCTTATGGAGCTTCACTCTCTTACAGTTGGTGATCAACCATGAGAGACTTGGGAGCCTGTGTTAGAGGAGAGTAGTTGGCATGACTTGAGATTGGGTGTGTGCCAATTGCTTCGAATGCGATAAATAGACAAAACCCCTCCTATTAATGTCTACACACGTTAAGTTGATAGAGGCTCTCGCATGTGTCGATCACGTGCCATCTTCATGTATCATCATGTGTTAATTATTTTTCACTGGTCAAAATGTAACATCGAGGATCCAATCAATATTTATTATACGTGTCATGTTAATTTCACAACAGACAAAAAAAAAACCAGTTAGACGTGTCACATCAATATAGCATATAAGTTGTTGATAGGGGAGCTAAACGCTCATAAGGCAGCCAAGCCTCCCTTACCCTTAAAGGCGTCTTTTGGAGCTCTTTAACTCCGAAAGGATAAAACCCTTTGGCGCTCATACGCCCAAAGCGGACAATACCTCGTACGCCCACGAGCTGTACCGAGACAGACTAATTGGTCCCCTATCAGATTGGTGCTAGAGGAATGGCCCGAGCGGCCCAACCCCCTTGAGCCATTGGCTCCCTACGAGGGGGGGGTAACCTGATAGGGCCAACTTAGTTCCACATCGGTTGAGGAGTGGGGGAGTCAAGCGCTCATAAGGCAGCCAAGCCTCCCTTACTCTCAAAGGTGTTTTTTGGAGCTCTCCGACTTCGAAAAGCGAAAAATACCTCGCATGCCCATAGACTACACCGAGATAGATTAATTGAAATATTATATAAAATGATATTAGTATGTGTGTTTTTTAATTGATAATTATAAGCTTTAAATATTTATGGATATTATCATACCAGACCTCATAAGCTGAATAAAGACACATGCATGTCCCACTGTAGACATAGAATGTATACATTTTATGTGTTTAATTTGTTTTTCCATCATTCAAGTTACAAATGCTAAATGATTTCTCTTCTGGACACTTTGAAAAGTAAATTACATTGGATTAATTTAAATTGGATATACAACCGTATTTATTTATGTCTCAAAATGCAAAATATTCGGACATCTTTCTCATTGATCAAGCTAAGTTATTTAGGTTATAGGCCAATATTAATATAATTTTTTTGGCTATTTAGTGGTTTACATATGTGTATATTTATCTTCTTCTTTTTTCCAAAGAATATTATCCTTTATGTCTACACATGAATAACATTTTAGGACTTAGTCACTAATTTGAGAGGATCAAAATATTTTTGTGTTGTATTAGTATCGATACTTAAAAGGATTGAATTTGGGTAGCGGTCTTGCTGAAATACTAGTTTAATTTTATTAAAGATAATATACAAGTGTTGATTCAACATATTAGTGTAGATTATAGTTATTCAAGTTGGGATGGTGATTCAAATCAAATCCATGTCAGTTCTAAATCAGTCTCACTCTAGGTTATTATTCATAGAGTATCAAATTTGGAAAACTAAATTAAGGATATTTCTGCCCCTCTAATGGTTAAATTAGTTATTGGATTGATTTGATCGATCGACTTATACTGAGGTGAAGTAGTGGAAGCGCATATAGAATCTCTTTTATGGATGACTCTAAGGACGATTATGTTCGTAATCGTCGATGATAAGAGGGGAATGTGTGACATTTTCAAGCAAAAAGTTTACGTGATGTTCATTGAACCTAACGCCTGCATAGGCTGATAGTTCCAATCATAAGTTTGGACAAACAGTCATTCGACCATGTATCATCCCGTGGTGAACATATGTCTTATAATAAGAATGTCATCTACTAGTTTTGTATGATTCTTGTGTTTTTTAATAATCAACACATTGGCTCGTTAGTGGACATGTATCACCTTATAGTGAGTATATCTCATAACTTGATCATCACTTATCAACCACATGTGATCCGCATGTTCTTTAGTGTTTGACTTATTGGCCTATCGGTCCATCGACTATGTGATAAAATTATATTCAACATGCAACTATTTATCTATTACTAGACTCTCATATTGGGTTTAATAGATTATAGGATTATTAAGTCAAGTGATGCTCTGGCCTATGTTGTCTCTAATGATAAGTTTGTTCATCATTTTTTCAATCATATGCAATCAAAATGCAAGTTCAACTCTCAAGATGTGGAGAGGCGCAAGTCGATAGAGCTAGCGAGGAATCGATGTCTTGAAGTAGTTGATAATTAAAGTGAGCGTTGACTAATATCATTTCAGTGATGTACTACTAATGTCATATGTAGATATCATCGAGAAGGCTCAATTGTAGAAGGTGGAGGGGCTCACCGAGCAACTTTGGGTCCAAGAGACTTGTGCCTTGAGATCAATGAAGTGGTATAAGG